CGCGTTTTTTCCGACTCGCTTTACGCCTTTTACTTCTTGCTTTTTTCGGTAGGTAAGCCGTATTCTGCCTATTTTGGTGTTCCCTTTAACTTTCTTCCGCGTTTTTCCCGACTCGCTTTACGCCTTTTACTTCTTGCTTTTTTCGGTCGCTTTGTCTCTTTTTTTTCAGCCTATTTTTAGTCAAAACCCTATCTCCAAGAACTTGAATTATAAAAATTTCCTCCCGTTGACCAAGCATTAGCTCTGCCGGTATTGTTGCTTTGCGAGTTGATTAGAAATTACTGAGAATTAATGTTCAACAACAACCTCACCAGTTTGATTTCCCCCTCGAAACGCGGGTAGCAAATTATTTGCTTAGGCGGCTTCACGCCTAACTAGCCCACGTGAAGCCCTCGTGTATATAATACCTAATCGTGTGCCCGCGGTAAGCTGCTCTAGAGTTAGGCGTTTAAGTAAGTGCACTACATTGTCGTATGAAGGTGTCTCTCGGCGCACACTTATGGGGTATTCAAGTTACGAACGCAATCGCGCCTGCGCGTTACTTTCTCTCTCCGCCCTTCAATTACGTAACAGTTAAGATGCCCGCAATGCAGTTGGCCGCGCATACGAAATTTAGCACCTTGTACGGTTGGTCTTACTGTCTCAATTCCAAATTTTTTCGGCTTGATGGATTACTACTATTTCCTTTAATAATGGGGCTACGCTGCGCTTGCTACGAGCTCCGCTGTAATTAAGGATTTTCCCCTTAATAACAGTTCGCTCTCAAAATTCTTTTCGCAAGCAGAGAAACCATTAGCAGTGCTTACACGGACTAATATATAGATTTAGGCAAGCCTAAAAGGGGAGCTCCCATGTTTTTTTCCCGCACGTCTCTTCAACAAAACTAAAGCCCCTACTATGGATAAAGTGCGTGGTAACATTAATGGTTTTTCGTCTGCTCTGGTGCAAATCACAAGGATAAAAAGGTATTTTCCCAGGAAGTCCCTGCATGAAAGAAAATCAAATCGAGGTAAGTCAGCTGATCGTGAAGTGTGATCGTGTAGTGTGATCGTACCAGAGAGAAAAGTCCTAAAAATTACTGCTGCCGGTGAAAAAGACTGAAATTTAAACAACAAGAGCAGAAGTTGTCACATAAATATTCCTTCCATATCCTGCACCTTAGGGTAAATCGGCAAGCAAAGGTACAAGCTGGCTGACTTAGGATTATCTTATTCTTTTGCATCATATATATGAGCACAATGTAAATTACAATTATTTGAGCTCTGCTCTTATCCTTTCATCCGTTGAAATTCAGTTTAGGCCGTCGGAAGCTACTCTGATTCGGTGCTCGATGGCGGGTTTAGACTAATCACGCGCGGGCATTCTACAATTTGATCATTTTTTATCTCAAGTCCCACGCACTTGAGTACAATTAGTAGCATTTGCAGTTCATTGATCCCGAGGACCGGTGCCTGGGATGCACAGGAGGCGGAAGTCTCATCGTAAACCATGTCGGTTCCACTACCTCTCATTAGGCAAGGCTACAAAATGGCGTCAGCCATGCCAGTCTTGCCAGATCCGAACGAAACCTCGCAGCGCTCTCACAGAAGTGATGGGCCAGAACCAGCGGCAATTGCAAGAGACTGTTCCTCGCAGAAAACAAAAGGAAAGTACAAAAGGAGAGGAACAAGTGACACGAAGAATGTCTCTTAATACACAAGCGCACTGATCAGTTTCCTGAAAAAAAAAAGAAAAGATTACGATATCAAACTCGAAAAAACAGTCTATAGCCGAGTCAATACAGCACACTACCTTTAGCTGAGCAAGCATGCAGACAAGAAGTAGTGAAGGAATTTCTGAAGGCAGGAATTCCGATCAGCAAAATCGACAACCTGCGTTCTCTGTTAGAGAAAAATGGCCATCGCCTTACCAGTAGCTCTAATCTTGCTCGAAGTCAGTGAATGCTAATGAGCTAGCTAGAGTCCTAAACGAGGCACTGTGTGTCGAATTTGGAATTAGAGCTAACTCTCCACCAGCAGCTATGAGGGCTGGGGCCAGTGTAAATCAAGTGACGCTGAACAGAATGCAATTTATCTTCCCAAAGTTGTTAAACGTTGTGTGTTTTTCTCACATGCTCTATAATGTGGGCAGCCATCTGATAATTCCAACCATCGTCTTCAGGAGTTGGGAAACCTATGAATCCGATTTTTTCACAGCTACCGGGCAAAACTGGTATGGAACGATCTAACAGGCCGGGAAGCAGCTACTGGAGCAGTTTGGAACGTTCCAAGATTTGTGCAACTACAAAATTTAGTATCAGATTCTGAGTCCCTCGTGAACCTCAATCCGGAGCTTGCTGTGATCATTGATGTTGGGGAGAATTTTTTCAAGCCCATGTACTTCTTAGAAAAAGATGGTCCCATCGTGTTTTCATGCTATGAAAAGCTTAAGGCTGTTGCTGATGCTTGTCAGGCGCCACACTTTTCAAATGTGTGGTGCAGTGATGGCGCAATTGCCAATGGAGACCCGAACCAGAACGGAGCGGCCCTAGAACAGGGAGCCAAGGCTTGCGTACAGCCAGCAATTCAGTGGTTTTTACGGAAGTTCAAAGTGGATCTTTAGGATGCAGTTACGGTCTTCAAAACTGCAAGAGTGTTGTGCGTGTTGGAAGGTTAAGGCCAACACGAGTTAGCGTAGAAGTCTTCAGGACTTTTCCATTCCTCGACAATGACGCTACAATGGACGGTTTTGTCAGAGAGCTGCCACAGTACATTGCTGCTACTGAGATGGGGCTATTGAATGCGACGGAAGAAAAGTTGATGTCTACGAAAAGAGGCTTCCTAATTGGTCTTCTGCAGTCAAGAAAGTCTTGTTTGCTCAACCTTCGTCTGCTTCCGCAAAAAGAGCTTTAGCTTGCTTTTGGCGTCTTTCCATAAGCAGCAAGGGAATGCACTTTCTGACTACTTGCAAGCAATTGTAATGCTGTAACAATCGCAGATAAGCTATATGATAATATAGACTATTTCTAGTGTGCATAAAAACCTGAACCACATGTTTATTTGAATTTCATTGTGGTATTCATTTCATTTCTTTCCTGTAGACCAACGGCTTCTAATAAAAAAATTATTTTTTTTAGGCCTATTTGCAATTTTTTCAAAGAGCAATTACAAAAATTAAAAAAAGGCATAATTTTGGCATAATTTGGCCAAAAAAAAGCAGTGCTACTAGCATGATATGCTACTTTTACTAGCACAGTCTATAAAAGACTAGCTAGGCGAGGTGGTGGCCCGCTTGAACGACAGAGACAGGATAGACACGTTCATCGAAAAACTGGAAGATTACCATTGATTTGTAGGGAAAATCAGAGTCGTCACTACATAAACTACAAAGTCGGAGAAACTGTGAAAATGCATGGTATGGAACTCTTGACGTGTGATGGACGCGAAGTTGAATACAACAAGTAACTATGTGAGTCTATAGGCCCATGAAATAAGTCCGGGACATATGTTTCAAAGATGTTCAAATGATTCTGACCTTTTCTTTTTTTCGACTATCCTCAAGCTAAAAGTTGTTTTTGTCCAGCGGATGGAAAGGATAGATGAAAACTTGAAATTTCATGGGGCCGTGACTGCAGTAATTTACCTTATTATTGTCACCTTGAATTTTGGGATTACTTCACCCATCTATTGCATGATTCTTTTGAAATGCCATTTACCGTATGTCCCAACAGAGAACTTCTATTTTTAAGCTTCATGGCAAGAAAAATTAAAATTAGTTCTCATTCGAAAAGGGAGGTCGCTGGAATGTTTCCATTCTACATTTTCTTGTACTTTGCATTAAGGAATGTATTTTGGAAGATCTTTGGACTTAAGAAAAAATGTGTATCTATGTACAGATGTATCCACTTCTCGAGAAATGTTTTTTTTTTCAAAAAAAATTATTAAAATCTGGAAATGAGAAACAAGGATAATTTAGCGATGCCGAGAAAGCATAGCTTCGTGGAGGTTCTGCGACTGCGTGTACTTGCTTGATTTAGTTGATGCTATACCCAGGGTTGAGAATGAATGAATAGGCCTAATGTTAGAAATCTCTTAGCTTAACGTCGATTAACGTTTTGCGCTTTTTTGGACAGCCTCATTAGCGAAATGCAAGTTAATCTCAGCTATTGCTTTTACTAGTTTCAAAATAGCGCATTATGTTCGCCCCAAGAGGTGAATAATGTTCATTAGCCCGAAATAGCCAACCAATTATCATATAGAGATATGTAGTTGGCGATTGAATAGGAGGGGCAGACCGGGGAATATTAAGCTCGAGGTCACTAAAAACGGACAGAGTGTACGTAGATCTATACGTTATGACCGTGAACCAATTACTTTCCTGATCGGCCCGATCTAACTTAGTCGATAACCATTTTGTCATATGAACGCCGCCGTTTCTCTTTATCCATCTTGTTTCTTGAAAAATATGTTATCATTAAATCTCCGTTTGAGGCCGATGGTGCTGACAGGGCCAAAGAAGAAGTCTTGTTTCATCGCACGGCGCGGCGATAAGAGAAAAGAAAGAAAGAAGGAGAAACAGCGGCGGTCATCAGATAAAATGCTAGTTGCTGGGTAAGTAATGAATTCGTCTGACGAGGTATGTAAGGACGAACAGCTCGTGTCCAGGCCATTACGAACGCCCTAGAAGATGCATGTGAGAAAGAAAAAAAAAAGAACAAAGATAATATTACCATGGGCGGCAGAATGAAACGATTGTGAATACACTTTTATTCAGTCACACGAAATCAAGCCACAGAAAGTAGATTTCGAAAATTTTATTGGAAAAACAAAAAGCGAAAACCATTAAAAACTAGTAACAATTGCCAGCAGCGCTAAAATTGCACGGGAGATTTCGTTGCTTCAACTGAATGCATCTAAAACTTTAGAAGACCAAGCCAACTGAATACAAAATAAGTCACTTATTTTAAAGTTTAAATGAGCAATAAGGGAAATGAAAAGTAAACTTGTAAAGCCTTCCATGGCTTACTTCAGCAGTGCTAGGCCCAGGACAGAGGAAATGGTCAACAGGATGATGTTGGCAGTGAAGTATGAGCTTGCGTTACATCCGTCTTCAGAACAGCAGCCAATTGCGCAATGGTAGTCCTTCGAAGCATCTTTCGCTCGATCACAAGCGGACTTTAGGCTGTCACAGGTGGATTGGGAACCACATCCATTTGTAACAATGCCATCGCTATCTTTGACTTTAATCCAGTATCTGTAGCATTTATCGCCGTACGGGCACGATTGTAAATAGCTGCCTTTGTTTTCTTTCAACTTGCTTTTGTTACATATGTCTTCAGTACCTTGGCAGAAATAACATCTTAATGCAAAAGCTGATGAATTAGAAAAAGAAAATGATAAAAAGGTTTGTACAGACAGCATGTTACTTACAATGTATTCTCTGGGGTTTAAAGACCTACTACTGCGTGCGTGCGCAGTAGTAGAGTGAATACGCTATTCACTATTTATCAAGAGATGGCGGTATTACTATACTAATAGTATAGAATACTGCAATAGAATACTATAATAGAATACTATAATAGAATACTATAGGAGACAAACAATATGATCTCACATCATTTTCCCATTGCGTGACATTTTCAGAAATACAAAAAGCTGATGATGTAATCCAGCAGGGACTCTTCCCGAGGAAATGAGTCATGGCATTGCTATCTAATACTTCTCAGAGACCCATACTTTTGTACTTTATTGGGCAATTGCAATACGTGCCTCGTTAGGCCCATTTAAGGGAATTCCCCTCCCCTCACCCACCTCCCAGGGTGTATATTCATTCAATTCACTTCAATGGACATTTTGCTTTGACGTCGGATTCTCAAGCGCAAGATAAATGTTTAAAGTTTTTATGAGAAGTGCATTGAGGAGTAGACACAAACAGTGGAATCTATAAAAGTGGACACCCATGGGACTCTCACTACTTTCTACTTTGAAAAAAGTGGTCTCACACAGAGCCATCTCAACTATACCACTTTCCATTTTATCGAAACAAAAATGGAAATAATTTTATGGAAATAATTAATGGAAATAGTGTTATGGAAATAATTTTATAGATACAAAAGATGGAAATAATTTTATGTAATTATTTTATAATATCAAAGCTTTGGAAGACTATTGAAGACAAACGATGTGATCTCACACCATTATTCCATTGCGTGAAATTCTCAGAAAAACAGGAAGTTGATGATGTAATACAACAGGGACTTTTCCCGAGGAAATGAGTCATAGCATTGCTATTGTTTTGAGGTCACATGATAGTCGCATGATTTTTTTTCGACCAATCAGCAAGTCTCTGATGCGTCGAAGAAGGGAAAGATACCCAAATACTAACCAGCTTATTTCATACGACAATAGTGGTTTTCACGCGTTGGAATTTAAATAATGGTTACTCACGCGTCGCAATTGACACTGTTTATGAAGATTGTGCTTCTAAATAAATCTCATATAGAATGATTGATGGTAATGATGCAATTCATGATGAATTTAACATCTAAACACTTAACAGACTTATTGTCCTTTTTGTAATGAGGAACTTCAAGAACACACAATAAAAAGTGAGCCATGTTGTGAAAATATGAAACTTGAAAACGATAATGTGTATGTGTATGTGTATATTGCGGTCAGGTTGATAGATACGACACTGAAGTTGTTGATTTTTATGATAATAGAAATAAGATAATCCGAAAGTCCGTTTATCATCGAAAGTATCACATTCAGAACGCAATCTTTGATATATGCAAAAGATACAGTATACAAATATCAGCGAACGATAAAAATAAGGTACTAGAGATTTTATGAAAAGATCGAGAGTATGTTACCTTAGATTAATGCTGATCGTAAAAGATTGACCAACATCAAATTACTTTAAAATGAACATTCAAAATAGTGAAATAACTGTACAAAAATATACCAATATCCCAATCACAAAGAACATGAGCATTTTACATTTAATATTGGAGGGGAATTTAAAAACTAATTGGGGATGATATCAAAACAAACATTTGTTATTCAAAGGACACATATCATCAAAACCCTTAGCTGAGTCAAATAATCTTGATCGTCATATGATTTGCTTCTCATAAAGGATCGCAAATCAACCAGTATTTTTTTCGTATGATTTGTCAGAAAAGCGACATGGCTCGATTTTTTTCAGATATGGTCCCTAATACAATTGAGTTGAGTGTCATACCACCTGCGTGCTATTGTGCCTGATTCACCCCACTACTATTCTTAGCAACAAAGGTCGCCATTTCGTTTCTTTATTTCTCGCCAAAAACTATCAAATGCACTCAAAAGCCTAAAATCGACCAATCGAGCGAGCGAGCGAGTGCCATTCTCCACATCATATCTACAACTCGCTCTTGGGCATGCACGCGATTCACGAGTTAAAAATGATGGAAAAAATTTTCCGTCTAGGAAACCGGTGCTCAAATCTAGTGTTGTGGATGCTCCCTTTGGTAACCCGACAACGTGAGACATAGATATACCAATCCAACGACCCCGTTGTATCTTCAAAATTAACAATCCTAGAACCGTTTGTAATATTTTTATTTGTTACCTTGAGATTTAAGTAGTTGCAGATGCCTTAGGGCTGTTTTTGAAAAAAATCTGATAAAAACCTGTTTCTTAGATAATCAATTCACCTCCATTTTTAAAACCGAAATGTGATGCCTCCGACGTTATTGTACTGTTTGTATTAGATAAGTCTCTGAGTGAAACGGGTTTTTCTTTATTATGCTCAAGATTGTTACTATAATAGTATTTGTTACGATTTATAATAGAGTTATTTAATCGATTTATATCGGTGTCCTGAATCTTTTTAGACAGGGAATTTTGATTGTTGACAAGATCAACTATATCCTTTAAAATATAACCGTCTCATTGAAATTGATGACAACATTGTAACCGTGTATATCTTATCCCAAACACTTGTTGAGACATCATTGTGGAACCCTTTAACACCATACGTTATGACAAAAACTTGTAAATCTTCTGTATAACTGATGCCAGATTTATTTTTCAAAACCATATCAATCATGAGATAATTGGGAGTCACGTTATTGTTTTCATGAAGATGAATTACACACTAAATGTATTTGTTGATGTTCTTGAAACTGTCTCCATACTGTTGGTAGTAGATATTTGGACTGTTGAAATGTCAACTGATGAAGGAAAATACAGTAAAAAAAAACGACAGTATATTCACTAGTTGCAAGAGGATACATATTCAGACCTACACACAAGATGGAGACTTTCTGAAAATCTCAATTAGTAACCTTAACACCTGTCACATCGTCTTTGCTGAATTCAGATGAAGGGTTACGAGATATTGAAACACGTTAACGTCATCATGACTTGAAATGGAATGATTTAGTCTGTCACTATCAAAGTATTTCTCATAGTAGGTCGATTCCCCGATGACTCAATAAGTTTTGTACCGCCAGCAGGTTTCAAGCGCGCCAACAAAGGCTGTTTGTTGAGCATCGAGTAACCAAACAACATGTATGTTGTATGTTCATTTGGTCTAGGTACCGAACTATTTGGACAACTAGAATTTCCAGCAGATGGATTCGTGAGGTCTCAAAATAGAATCCTGTTGTTAATGAGGTAAATCAAATCGCTCTCGACCGTACACTTTCGGTGGGAAATGCCTCTAGTCGAACAATCATAGGGAATTGCAAAGATGCCAGTCAAGAATAGCCGAATTTAACAACGACATTCGGGAACTAGTAAAGGATAATTATTATAAAAGTTAACGCTGGATGCCTAAACTTTGAGTCAAAAGTGAGAGTCCAGACAAAAAGCGGTCTCCTGATATTCAATTTTCGTGCCCACTTGGGTAGTGTATACCTGAGGGTTAATTTTTAATATCTTCTATGCCCTCTTGGATAGTGTATACCTGAGGGTTACTTTAAATCTTTTCTATACCTTCTTGGGTTGTGTAAACCTGAAGTTTACTTTTAATCTCTTCTATATCCTCTTGCGCCTAAGCTTGTAGACGGAAAAGGAATCAACACAGTTTCTGGACTTTAAAAGTTCAAAACCATGGCTTGTATTAAGAAGGGTTTGTCGGAGTTAGGCCTAGGCCTTCGATCATGGAAGTGAAATCATCTTTGCTCGTGCCGCTTTTTAGGCTATTTTTGAGTTTCTTCTTTTTACGTGTTTTAAATCGTTCATATTATATGTTGCTGTAACATTTTGCCTTGATCTTCTTTAGTGTCCTAAAGAAGATCAAGTTAAGCCTAAACTTAAACCAGAGTCCATCCATTGCACAGAAATCGTTTGGAGACAATGAAAACTAACCGAGATCTGAAGGGTTTCCATACTGGATTTCTTCCTCTAGCTCAACTTAAGATTATATATTTTCATACAAACGCATAAACGAAAGCTGTTACATGCATTTTCAAGGATTATTGTACGGTTCACGGAGAAAAAGCCCATCATGCTGGCGACCGAAGCCGACGAAAATACTCGACAGTTATTTTGCGGCCGTTTGATGTTTTTCAGTGTCGCATCATTCAGCGATGCTTTTAATGAGACATAACATCTCCTGTCGGATAAATTTACAATTTAACCTCCAGAGTTGCACAGTACTCACCATGTGCAGCCATGAGAACGACAACAGTCAGAGAGAACAGCAAACGATTCATTTTTGAGGCTCCTATCTTGTGTCGAAGTTGAACTCTTCGTGCTTCACCGAAAATGTACAGCCACGCCAAATTTATGCATAGCATGGTCACCATGGGCGTATAAAAGGTAACAGACAAACACAAATGGTCCGGGGGAGGCATACGTCACCCCTGTGTTCCTAGTCCACAAATCATTTCATTCAATGTTATTAGTGTCATTACGTTACTTTGTGGGATTTAATTACGTCGTTGAAAAGGAACACAAAGTGTGTCATACAGCGGGTTATCCTGGTCAGATGTGGAATGATGATCGCCCATCTTCAAAAATTGAAGGTGGTCCACAGAGATGATCCACGAACTGTGCACATGGTTGTAATTCATGGACCCCCGGTTCCTGTGTTATAAATCTGTGATTCTTGACAACGCGCAATCGTGTCACTGGCTTGTGTAAAGCGTATTATGAAACCGGTTTAACAGGATAAAGCACCTACGAAATCACCCTTTGGCGCATTGAGCCGGCATAAAAAATGTCAATCCAAAATGTCATTGTGTATAGTAAAAACACTCGGATTTCCCTCGAGGTTTCGCATTAGTTTTACATATTTTTGACATTGTTAAATATTGTTGACATTGATGGTCAAAAATCTCTCAGGCTTGGCGGAACATTTTGTCATTTGGGTGACATTTTTTAAGTTTTATGTAGCAGTACATTTGTGAGATAACACAAAAATTCAAACATTGTCGTAAGAAAGAACCACATAATGAATCGTTTGCTGTTCACTCTGACTGGCGTTGTTTTGAAAGCTGCACATGGTGAGTACCGGGCAACTTTGAAACTAAAGAGATTGTAGCTAAATTTGGAAACAAAATGTTCACGCGTCAGCTTGATTTGGGCACCTGTGGGATAATTATTGATTATCCTAAAAAAGTCGAGAGTGGGTCCAAAGTGATCCATGAACTAGGCGCATGGTGAAAGTTCGAACTCTCGCTACCTTGGCAAATTATTGACCTTTAATGCAATAAGATCTACATCCGCTCGCGATCAGGATATTGCGGTCTTTTTGTTGCTGCCAACGTACGTTCTACAACTACGACTATATTTTCATTATTAGGTTCTTTATTCAGCGAAGAACAAGCTTAAAAGTCAGATTGGACTAAATTCTGCCCTAGAATATCAACCTAAGCGTAAATCCAAACTACATACATATATCCCCAATATTGTAAAGATCAAACTTGAAAGAGCGGTAAGACTGAGTTATCATTCTGAACAAATCAAGTCGAGCTTAAATCAGAGTCCATCCATAGCATAGAAATCGTTTGCAATACTATACAAACACATAAACGAAAGCTGTTACATGCATTTTGAAGGATTACTGTATGGTTCACGGCGAAAAAGTCTGTCTTGGCGGCTAAATGCAATTATAATATTCGACGACTATTTATCAGCGATGCTTTTAATGAGACACAAAATTTCTTGTTGGATGAATCTACAATTCAAACTCCCAAGTTGTACAGTACTCACCATGTGCAGCCAACAGAACAACAAGTGTCAGAGTGAACAGCAAACGAATCATTTTTGAGGCTCCCATCTTGTGCTGAAGTTGAACTCTTCGTGCTACAGCGAACACGTACAGCCACGCCAAATTTATGCAAAGTATGGTCACTAAGGGCCTTTAAAAGGTAACAAACAAACATAAAAGGTCGGGGGGGGGAGGGGGTGTATAACACCCCTGTGTTCCCAGTCCACAAATCATTTCATTTAATGTTATTAGTGTCATTACATTACTTTGCGGGATTTAGTTACGTCGCTGAATAGGAACACAAAGTGTGTCATACACCTGGTCATCATAGTCAGAATTGGAATGATGATTGCCCATCTTTAAAAATTAAAGGAGTTCCACAGATGTGAGCCGCGAACTGTACACATGGTTGTAATTCATGGACCCCCAGTTCATGCCTTATAAATTTGTAATCGATAACAACGCATTAGCGTGTCATTAGCGTGTCAATTTGCAATAATACCCAGTGTTTGAATTAAAGCGAGCTTACTAATTTCGGCCGTAAACAATTCTGAACTGAAATAACTGAAAACAAAGTATATGGAGGCAATGTAAGCAGAGATAATTTTGATGTTCAAGCACCAAGAACGTAAGACTTATATCTTTTCGCCAACGTGTGACATCTGTAATTACACAGGGTAACATAATCCTTTACTGCCTTGCATTTGAAAGCACAACTCCCAATTAACTACTTAGTATGTACTTATTGACTGAGTGTGAAAGCCGGAAAGGGTAATATTTGGTAATAATATTATCGAATAGTCCACCAAACCGAATGGCTCGCTATTGAATGGCTCACCAAACTGAATAGCTCACTTTCAAATTGAATGACTCATCATCGAATGGTCCACCAAATTGAATGGCTCATTATTGAATGATTCACTTTCACTATCGAATGACCCACTGCGCATTGAATGCCGGCCGAACGCGAGGAGCCTGGTTTATACTCGGCGCCAGTCTATCGCAGGCGAGATTTTTTTAAAATTTGGCGGTGTCACAATGTTCAGGGTATTCCCGTGTTTTGTGTATTCCCGTAGCCAAAACTCTTGTGTTTTCGGTTTCCCCTCAGGGACTGGGGCAAGTAACATGTCATCCTCTTTTGAATTAGTCATGGGCCAAAAATAGTTTCCTGCAGTCGTCAGAAAATTGTCATCTAAAGTTAATTCTCGCACTTGAGGTTGTGGTTGGTGAAGAAAAGTATTCATTTTGTTTTGAAGCATTGGAATGAAGTTAAGTTTATTGATCGTGATCCTCACTGGTACACTCGCAGGGTCAAAGAGGCAATTCTCATAAGACTTCAACATAACAACATCGAAAGGGACAGTAGAATGGAAATTCCTGAAGCGTGGATGCCCACGATCAAAATACACATGAACCGGAGAGCCGTACGACAGTGCACCGCCGAGGACACAACTCAGTCAAGAAAAAAGAGGATTGGTAGTAGGCTAAAGCTTTCGCATATAACTTCAATTGCAATGTTCGCTGACCATCAAGCGTTAGAAAAATAGAAACGCTCCCGAGTTTACGGAGATGTCACTTCCCATCCTAGGCAATCGGGAATATCTTCAATTTTTTCATTCGTCGGAAAATCTGGGACAATCAAGAAACTGTGAAATCCCCAATCGTCTATGAAAACCAAGCTCAACGAACATTGTTCGCCTCAGTAATAGAATAAAACGAAAGGGGAATGAAAGTCAATATGATAATTCATTCATTAAAAAGAATAGAACCGTTTATATATATAAAAAAAAACATATCAAATAATAAGAAGGGTTTATTTCATTTACCGCAAAACCCTGGCCAAAAAGCGCGATATGAAAAATCAAAATCACGTACATTGAATGATAAAACATTAACAAAATAAACATTTCTTGTTTTTGAGAATATAGAGATTATTGACATAAATAAATAAAGCTGACATCAGCGCATTTAAAATACGAAAAATGATTTTATGTAATATTTATCGATTTGGTAATTAACTCCTCGAGCACTTCCGTGTTTTGGAAAGTTTAAAAGACTGCACGGTATTTAAAGGGTGTATTGGATTCAGAGATACTTAGTTTTTCACCATTCGATATTTCAATTCTTGAAAAAATAAAACACATTTGGACACTTGTAGATGTAATCTGTATATTGGAAATTAATTTCTATTCATTCGTTCAATTGTTGAGTTCATTCGTTCAATTGTTGAGTTCATTAATGGTATAAGCTTATAACCACATATGGAAGTCTTCTACGTTTCAGGACCCTGTGCGTCTTGAACAAGCTCTGCCAAAACGAAGAGTCAATTTTCCAGTTTTGTAATTGCAGAATTATAAAAACAAACAGGGCTAAGCTCCAGTAAAAACTCTTTCTTCTTTCCAGAATTGGTTATGTCAAATGGAGCCACGTCAATGATTGGTAACGCCTCCTTATCAGCTGTGTTGATATCTAAAATTGTTTGACGCCATTCATCGTTTAGTTCCTGTTGAATATAATTTGGAAAGATCTTGAATAAGTAGCGTTCAGTCAAAAGATTAGTCAATCCATAGGCCGATCGACAGATCAATCATTTTATCAATTAGTTAGCCGGTTAGTTATTCAATCAGTTAGGCGGTCGGTCAAATAGTCAAACGGTCACATCAGTCCGGAATTATTTCATCCGTCAGACAGTCGGTCAGTTAGTCAAATAGTCATTCAAAAATTCATAGATTTATTCAGTCAGTCAGTCAGTCAGTCAGGCAGTCAGTCAGTCATTAGGTCAGTCATACCATCTTTCAGTCATTTAGATTTTTTTCTTTGTTTCACGCTCGCGACAAGACGACTAACATCTTTGTTTCGTAAAGGGAACATCTAAATCTTGAGGATATAAGACGAAATCCAAATAAGTGACTGTTATCGAAAAGCCTTTGAAAAATGTTATATGTATTGTTTGTTATTACCTTGCATCCATTCTCTAGAAGAACAGGCTTAGTTCGGTCATTACCCTTAAGCTCCATTTCATTTTCACCTTGCATCTTAATCGATCGACCTCCGTCATCTTCCCAAGCGCGTGAGTTGTAGCAAAGATAGGTAATATTTTGAGACACACGCCTACTTAAAAGTCTTAGGAATCTCATTTGGACTGGAACCATGCTATAACCCATCTGAAATTATAGAATAAATCGGACTGTAAAGATCCTTATCAGGGTTTTCAATAAAAGCCAGTTACGAGCGGTCTACCGCCATCTGTAATACCTTTCAAGGCCGTCTGTTTAGCCTGTAAAGAGGCTCTGGTGTTTGGGTTTCGCTTTACAGCATAGTTGCTGATGACACCATCCTTAACCGCTTTATAAAAAGTGATTAGAAACCTCTTCCTCGTTAAACTGTTTGGAGTTTTTCAAAAGACTATAAACACCACCAACAAAATCATTGACCTTATACTTACAAGTTCTAAGTCGCTAGTTGCTTCGCTTATCCACTGGAATGGTCTTGCATCTGGGGTTTTAATCTACAATGAAACTGTACCTGATAATGTCCACCCCCAAAATAAAAGTGTAGATGTGTCCAGAAGCGTAACTAGAGTTTCTTAAAGGGGGAGGGGTGTGATCACAGTTACGTATATCATCGTTTTCAGTTTTGCGCGGAGAAAAAAATGCTGTCAAGTGCAGTAGTTAGGATTATAAGCGATTTATGCTGTAAAGATTATACGGATCCACGCACATATTGCAATCCACCATAATAAGGTTTGCATTTTTAAGACCCTTTAACCCCTAAGAGTACTAGCAATTTTTTCAATTCCTCGACAATGACTCAACAATGAACGGTCTTGTCCGAGAGCTGCCACAGTACATCGCTGCTACCGAGGATGTGGCTATTGAATGCGAGGGAAAAACAGTTGAGTGGCGGAATGCCTACGAAAAGAGAGGCTTCCTAATCGGTCTTCTGCAGTCAAGAAAGTCTTGCTTGTTCAACCTTCGTCTGCTGCTGCAAAAAGAGTTTTTAGCCTGTTTTCGGCGTCTTTCCATGAGCCTCAAGAGAATGCACTTTCTGACTACTTGCAAGCAATTGTAATGCTGCAATATAACAATTAAGAATTTGTTCATACTTAGCGTGGGTATATCGAGTTATGGATACACGCGGGAAGTTTGGGGAGCACGAAAAATGCGTGAGAGTAGCTCGAGACGCAGCCGAGAGCAACTCTAGCTTTTTGAGTGCTCTCCAAACTTCCCAAGTGCATCCATAACTCGATATACGCACAGCTAAAAGCATGAGCAAATTCTTTTATAACAGAGCGACAACAAGGATCTGCGCGAAGAAGCCTTTTATTGTGATAGAGTGCAAAATTCTTACAACGCACAAAAAAAAAGGAAACAAACGTCCCTATTGGCTGGTCAAAAACATGCCACATTTTATATTTTGGTTTGAGCGAGAGCATTTGATCCAGTTAACCGATAACTGTGAATGAAAAGCTCAAAATTTGCGTGGGAATTTGAGAAAATCAAAGCCAAACGAACTTAAGTGTCTCTAAAAAGTTATCAAGGGTTTCCTTTGTTCAAAATAATGTTTACGCTGCCGTGCAGGTGCAACTGGAGAAGACAGACTGCTGGAAACTTGCAATTTTCTCCTGGGCAACCACCAAACAGTAATTTTGACGAACAGTTATGGCTGCAGCAGAAGACTCAGGTTGGCTGTTCCCAGCGAATGTCTTTCGGCCAAAATTTGCTGCAGCTGGTCTTGCGACAAATTTGCGAAACGTGCAACTTGTGAGTTTTTTTCGACTTTATTTTTTGCTTGTTGGATCAGGACCTAAAAGGTCAATGCCGATAGAAAAATTGGGCAGTTCTTCGCTGGTTTCTTCCATATTTCAAAGAGAAGGAAAACTGCACTGCAGCATAACAGGACGGAAACTCTGAAGCCAGGTAAAAAAAAAAGGCTCACGTCATCTTATTTATGCACGGGTGTGCGTAAATAAAGATTTTGTTCATAGCGGCTCAACAGGACTTATATAAGGCAAGCACGCGCGCCATATTGTAATCGCAGATAAGCTGCAGAAGAGTATAGACTATTACTTATATTCATGTAAACCTGAACCACACGTTTATTTGAATTTCATCGTGGTATTCGTTGCATTTCTTTCTTATAGAAAAAATTATTTTTTTGGACTTATTTGCAATTTAGCATAATATACTACATTTGCTCGTACGATTTATAAATTAAGCTTAGTTAGCCGCGGTGGTGGCCCGCTTGAACGGCAGAAACAGTATAGCCGCGTTTATCGAAAAACTGGCACATTGCCTGTGATTTGTCGGAAAAATCAGAGTCGTCACTACATAAACGACAAAGTCTGAGAAACTGTGAAAACGGTATGGAATTCTTGACGTGTGATGGATGCGAAGATGAATACAACAAGTAACTATGTGAGTCTGCAGGCCTATGAAAAAAGTATAGGAGACATGTTTCAAAGATGTTCGAATCATTCTAGCCTTTTCTGTTTTTTCGATTTTCCTCAAACTAAAAGTTGTTTTTGTCAAGCAGAGCGAAAGGATAGCGATGAAAACTTGAAATTTCACGGGGCGGCGACTGCAATAATTTACTTTATTATTGTCACCTTGAACTTTGGGATTACGTCACCCATCTAAAGCATGATTCTTTTGAAATGCCATTTACCGCATGTCCCAACAGAGAACTTCTATTTTTAAGCTTCATGGTAGAAAAAATGAAAATAAGTACTCATTCGAAAAGGGACAAGGCTGAAAAGTTTCCATTCTACTTTTTCCTGTACTTTGCATTGTTGAATTTTGGAACATCTCTGGAAGTAAGAAAAAAATGTGTATCTATGTACAGATGTATCCATTTGTTGATAAATGGTTTTTCAAAAAAAATACTAACCCCTAGCCAGCCAAGTGGAGGCGCAGCAAATAACAAAACAATAATAAGAAGGGCAGAATCTACGAAGGCAATAGGAACTGGGACAGAGGTCTGTCTTGAGTCCTCTTCATTAGAACTGCTTTGAGATTGGGAGTGGTTCTTTTTCTCAATTCCGCAGCAACCATAGCAGCAGGGGGCACCACTGCCCTCTTAGAGGTCCGCTTGGTCAAGGGGTCTCCTGGTGACCGTGAGGAAACCCTCCGAGGAATCTTCAACCTCGGCGGACGAGGAAAAACTTTCAATATTGACACTATCGGTCGCCGTATCCTCGTTGGAATAACTTTCATTATTACTATTTTCGTTAATACTTTCGGCCTTTTCACTCTTACGATTATTACTTACTTTTTGTTCACACTTATTTTGTTTCCTCTAGTATCGCTATTGTTACTTACTTTTTTGCTTACACTGGTATTATTATCCGGAGAGACGACACCCGAGGGGCCTGTTACCTCAGGGGGAGTTTGTTCAGGGAAGGAGGAGGAGGCTAATGAGAACTATTAGGCTAAGAGGGGGGTTTTAATCAATGAGGCACGGGGCATGAATGGCACCAACGATATCTCCGACACTATTCTCGTTACTGAAATTAACTAAGTTTTCTTTTGTTAAAAGCCCAAATTGTACTAAGTGAGATTGGATGCCTGCGTATGTTGATTCCTAGGTGCGATATTGTGAAGATATTGGAATCACTGCAGACGCGGCCCCTCGACTATTTGTTTTTGGTCATCGTGCGCTGGGAGACTGGTATGTGGTCGTCTTTGTGACTTCGGGATGATCAACACATTCTTTGTGTACCAGACTGCCGAGATAGTCGCTGGAATGTCAATTCTATTTGTAACCATGACAACATCATATGCTCACATGATAGTGTTCATTTTAGTTTTTGGATTAAATTTATCGTTACACAGCAAAAAACGAAAATCCTCCAACTTCCCCCCCCACACACACACACACATACACATCCAAACCCACACCCACCCAGGCGATAAATGAAGACGGTCCCATAGTCTGCCCAGGGTAGGGTGAGAGGGTGAGAGAATGAACAGGTCACTTTCGTAGAAAAAGTAATCAAATTTTTTTGTTAACCGGTCTGGTGGCAGACTCAATGGGCTCGTATAAGCCAGCGTTTAACATGGCTGGTGCAGCAGTGCTCACGGGCGCTTGCATTCCTTTTTCCCTTCTCTGTAGGAAAGAGAGAAGCGCGTCACGTGATCCTTGGACCACTCTGGGCCCGACTGCAGAATTGGCAGACGTACCTGATTGGAGGAAATCTGCTGTCTACACAGTTGACAAAAAAGCATCGACTCGTGATCCTGACTTATGACTGAATTCCCTTATAATAGACGGCATGTACGTTTGTTTTATCGCTGATTCACTTCACAATTAGCTTGTTTCAGAGGTTCGGAGCGAAATAATTTTTGGCACGAGAGTAACAGCCGGGTGAAAAAGCGAGGGAGGCTTTGGTCGAATCGGATCGGGTAAGTCCCAAACCTCCCTCGGTTTTTCTCTTTGCCTCGCGCCGTTTATCATTTCGCTCTGAACGTCTGGAACAAACTACTTCACAATTATATTAGCTTTCTAATGTTCCTGGAATTTTACAAGAAGTGATTGAGATGAAGTACTATCACGACTAACAGACAATTTAGAAGAGCTGATCTGATGGGGTAATATTGTTGGGAAATTAGACTTGATATCTTCTTTTCCTCGCAATATGTTGTGGAATTGTTAAGAAGGATACATTGCTTATATTCTTCCCTAATGATGGTGTATTGTGTTATTGTGTTATGAGCGATGTGCGATATGTGCGATGTGTTATTTCTTGTTTCGTCGTGTTGCTTTATGCGTCTTTGAATAATTAATAATTTGATATTTTTTTTAAGTTTGTTGTAATTTTTTGAATGAACTCTAGCGTAATATGCCATACGCTAATGATGATGTTTATGGAATTATCTATTAATAATTGTAATAGGATCGAGTTGAGTCCAATCTGTTCTGTAATTGTTTGAATGATTGAAAAAATCAGGCAACATGAGTATGAATGCAGACAGAGATATGTAGTTAGCGAACGGGTGGGAGGACCAGACAGGGTAATATTAAGGGCGGAGCTAACGTAGATCTCTACACTATGACCGAAAATCAATTACTTTCCTGATCGGCCCGATCTAACTTAGTCGAAAACCATTTTGTCATAGGAACGCCGCGGCTGTTTCTCTTTGTCCACCTTGTT